CCTCCTCTCTCCCCTCTTCCACGTCAGCCCTAGTTACCTTACATTCTCTCAGGACCCCCTTCATAGTGGTGGGCATGATTTGTTATTCCTTTAAGTGAATGCAAAGAAGCATAAGACTGACTGGCTAGAAAGGCTAAGTTACATGCATATAAAAGAAGGGTAATTCGTCCCGCCATTTATGATAGAAGTCTGTACACATAAAGGATGTAAGAAAAAAAACGCTACCTTTGTTCATTCAGTGCTGTTAGCAACAGATCCTTTTTCATTCGTCCTCCTTGGTTTTCAAAGGAGATGTGGTGTAATCAGTCAAGAAGTATTTCTTTTCTCATCATGAGCGCTTTATACCAGAGATGGCTTTTTCGTATTATTTCACGCATTGTACAAATTGTATAGCGACTAAAAACTCCAAAGTGAGTTATTTATTATTGTACAGCGAAATGTTACTAAGTGACAAGTAACCGTTGTGGACTAGATTGTAGGAAGGGTGGTGTGGTGTGTGTAGAAGAGCTTGCTGTAGAAATATAAATCTAGAATAAAACGGGTGATTATTACAAATATCTTTCTAATGGTACACTGTTGAAGTTTGTTGACTATCGAGAAATTGTTCCGTGAACGTAAAACGTGAACAATAAGAGCCTTGTTTCGGATGATGTTTTCCAAACGTTTGGGCTTCAGTTTTGAAGACTGAGGTACAAGTTAAAAAACGCGACGGATTAACAGAATTGTAAAGTTGACTGAGCAGATGAGGGACTGGTGCGGAGCTTAAAGATTAAACGCTTCACTCGCATAAAATCATCATGATGATTAAAAGCTTAAAGAGTAAGGAATTCCCATAAGGGAATAGCTAATTTTAAATTCAAGTTTGCCCAAATCAAGATAACTGCAGCCGTTCATGACATTTGTTTGCCTCTTCGTGTTAAAAAGTTCTGCAAAGATGCACATGGAGGAAGCAGCGAACCTTCTCTCCGCTCTTCAGGAAACGTTAACCGACATTGACACAGTCGTAACAAACGTGAACGAACACTGCAGCCGAACCATTCTTAATATTGAAACTGCGGCGCAAAGACTCTTGCAAGCCATTGCAGATCACCGACACAAGTTGGTGTCGAAGGTTTGCGAAATCACTGAAGCAAAATTACACGCGTTGCAAGCCGAAAAGGATATCGTACAGGAGAATTTCAGAGCTCTAGAGCATGTGCTCCGCTGCGCCCAGAATACTGGAACAGTCGAGGATTCGACTGAATGGGACAACGCTTTGTCAAGGCATCTTCATGATCTAAAAGAATTGGTGTTTGATTTCCAGGATTACGACGAAGAAATGGAATTCCATTTTTTGTACCGTGATGAAAATATCTTGGCGGCAATTTGCAACTTCGGAGATGTTTTCACACTTGCAAATGACGAAGACTCTAAAATAGCAAGTCGTGATGCAAAGGCTGCTAGACTGGGTAAAAACATAACCAGTCTGACAGAGGAGGAGGAAAAATTGGACGGCAAAACTGAATTCCAACACACTACCGACAGAGTCGCTTTACTACAAGAATTCCAAGAGAACTTCAAAAGCCCAGACCACACGACAGAAACCCAAGAGGCCGATTTAAAAAGAACAGTGCTAACCAAAGTTTTCGAAGAAACAGTGGATGTTGTTCAATTGATCGAGATAAAGGGCGAAAGCCAGGAGCTACGCTGCGAAGACGACTTAGCATCAACTTTGGAACTGGTTGACGGAGGGATTAGTGATTCGAGTGCGAGAGACATCACCTGCAACGAAATTGAACAAACTACAGTTCTTAGGCAAAACTGGTCGGATGTTTTCACTCCTTTCGAACAACTTGTCTCCACTAATGAAGAGGTCGAGGTCTCGGCTTTTACTGTGGAGGAGACATCGAGCGCCGAACTCGAAAAGAAAGATGTAAACAATAATAACAAAATCGTCGTCGATAGGAGTGTTGTGACATTACAGGAAGACAGTTTTTCAGCATAGATCGTGTTTGTGAGAAACGAAATGAGAATTGGAAGCCGAGTAAACGAGATACTTGCTTGTGGGGATGAATACTAATGAAGATTGTTATTCTAGTGTGTTATGTTTTGTTATTCTAGTGTGTTATGTTTTGTTATTCTAGTGATGCAATAATGATTTGATGACTTCAGTTAATCTCTGAAAAACAAACGAATAAACTACAAAGGAGTGCCGAGGTAGCTTTTTCTTTCACTGTTTCCAGGTCGAATAGCAAGTTGGAATGTTGGTTTCTATTCAAACAAGGAAGCAAGTATTTCTAAGTAGTTGAAGTTATCCCCAAACGTTAAGCATATTCTTTCTCTGTCTATCTTACGCTATGACCGTTCTTCGAAGCTTAAAACCGTTCTTTAACGTTAAAAAAAACCCGCAATAAGTTTAACGCCCATAACGACAGCTACTTCAAGCACCTTTAAAGCATTTTTATTCTATAAATTACCAGTCACATTAAAACATACCTTGTCCTACAGATTCTTGGATGTAATGGAAGTGCGGAAATGCGATCAGTTACAACACATTGGGCAAGCAGGTCGCTATAAGGCGGTTTCAAAACACCTCTGCGTTGATTGTCTCTCGCGAATACCGAAGATCACAAAACAAGAATATTTTCCTATTCCTTCTACCATTTTTTTGTCAGCTAACTCTTCCGGAGGGCTGTTTGAAAACGAAGGTTCTCAAGATATGCAAACTCCAGAAATAATAATAATAAAAATTATTTTCTGGCCAAGAACTTTCATTAACCCTACTTGATTGCAAAAAAATAAATAATAAATAACTTTGGAATCGGTATCTAAAGATTACTTGTAAGGAACTACTGGAAACAATGAAGAGTCCTCTCCCATGTTTGGTTCGACTTCAAAACCAATATTATTAGCGCAAAAAGCCTTAATGTGTATGTTGCAGAGTAAGTATCTCTTTTCATTCTGAGCTGCCATTCTGAAACCGGCCAGCCACGGCGGGGTCTTGGGAAGAAGTGACGAGAAGGTCGTTCTCCTTAATCCCGCTTATTCTTTATCGTCGCTAGCCCCAGTTTTCGCTCGTCCCTACATATCTTATGCCAAGATGCTCCGTTTTCTTAAAAAGAAGGGACCCTTCCGACCAAAATTTGAAATTTATCACCAAGAAAAATAACCCTCGCAGTAAGAAGGACAGAGTCCGAACAGTATGCACGGTAAATTTTCCGAGTCAAACCAACCCATATCATCTGAATAATAACTGTTTGAAATTGATCGCAGATGAAGACCCCTAAACGACTGGTGGTATAAAATCTGCATGTACCTTTGCACCTTGCCCAATAAGTTGTAACTAATCACATTTTCGCACTTTGCACAGAATAAAGAGTGGCTCTATAGTTAGGAACTTAAGTTCCTGTTCTCTCTCGTACCACAGCCTGAAGTGCCCAGCGATCTCGGAAGAGCCTGTAGAGAATCAGGTAATTAAACGTCAGGAGCCCAGTGACCGAGAGAAGCTGGTGCCAAGAGTGGGACCTTGTTATCATAAACAGCTGATATAAGACAAGTAACAACAGAACTGCTGCCATCCAGTTGACGAGTCGCAAGGGAGATTCGAACATGAACTACAAAACAAAGTTATTGCGCGTCAGTATCGATAGCAAATAAGCTCGCTAATAAATTTTCACCAGAAGCCATACAGTTATTATTTCCGTCAGCAAAAAGTACACATGAAATACCCAGTAAACAGGCTTCGGTTGAAAGGGTTGGGAAGGACCTGACGTCGACTGAGGGGGTAGGGGTGGGGGTGGGAAATGGTGAGCCCCCCCCCCCCCAGCTCTTTTCTTCCCGCGTGGGTGGGGAAGTGGTGGGTGATGCAATGTCTTCGGTTACCCTTTTTTCGGCAACAAGTTGTTTTAAGGGGGTGGATCAGGGAATTCAAGCTACTGAGAAACTGCTTTTGGATCCATTCCGTAAACAAAGAGCAATAATGTAAACGTATCAACCAGCACCGCTAAATGACGCTGATCTACAGTTCTACGGATGGGAACAGTCTTAACATAGCATTGCCCATTTCAAAAGAAAATCCAAAGGCAGAATGAAATAAAGCCAGGCAAGCAAGCCAGCAACTTGCTGAATAATTCTTAGTGTTTAAATACTTACGAAAAATCTTCCATGATGCGCGTCCCCTGGGATTGCAACATTGTGAATACCGAGCGCTCTGTATAGAAGTTTACCATGCCGCACCAGGACCCCCTGAGGCCATACCGTTAATGCTGACCATCTAGTGGTAGTGACAAAAGATACCGATTATCATGTCAGCGATTAATATGTTAACTAATAAAGTCGTGGACTAACGGAAAGAAGTACATAAAGCTTAAAATTAGCTTCTTGCTGATTTTTTTATTTACTCTTTCTGATTTGAACTAACCGAAAGTCCGTCAGGTTACAAACCACACTTTTAAAAGAGCTCCTGCGGAGGTCATCGGATTAAAATGACCAACACATCTCAATATAAATATACAACTTACACATGTGGAGTGTCGCGGTGACCGCAGGGATATCTCTCCCATCCGCCAAGATGCAGTGCACACTTATGTAAAGCGTCACAATAATTCAGCGGTAACATGTACATCATTAACATTAGCAAACAGCTCAGCCAAACGAAAAGCGTGTGCTGACAAGCCCACCACATGTCGTAATACACATAATGTTGCTGTGAAAAGATCAAGAACTTACATAAATATATCAAGAAAGATGGCAAAATTTAGAAGGCAGTCGTCAAATGGATAGTTTTTTTTCCTTTTTCTTGAACGTAAAGAAAACAATCTGAGTCCCCGTAGGAGCAATCAAGCCGCAGACCTCCGGATTTCCCGGTTCCATCCTCCAGTACTGAGATGCACAGACCTCGCAGATAAGCAGGCCAAATTCAAGGTATACATGTGATAAACGTTCTGCATACTACTAAAATGACGCCGTTGTCAATTCCAAAGCATATTTCAAACTTCAACAAGTACCTACTCTTTCGGACAAATGAAGGATTTGCAAAGGACAGATATCATATACCGGTAGCCAGTTTTTCTAAGGGCCGATAACTCGATCCAACAGATAAATTACTAACGGAATAAGTGTAAACAAAACGTACCACGCTATCCACCGGACAGAGATTTATCCATTGGATAGCGATATTAACCTTTCAAACAACCTTGAAGAGGTTTGCAGAATAATTAGATAAAACACATAACAATATTCAACTCGTCACTGACCATCACGGAGTCAAGTTATAATCCTCACCTCTGAGAACTTCATCGGAATAAACCCAACATAGTAAGCGCATACGAGTGACTGAAATAGAACCTGTTTGATCCGAAGATTAAAATCGGTTCTCAGGCATTCTGTTTCGTATCGCACTGCATCCGGTGGCAGTGAACATGGTTGAGGAGCTGGTAGTTCCTGTTTAGAATTTCCGTTCACCATTACACCTTTAGCGTCCAGTAGGCTGCTCTGTAGTAGCTGTAGCTGTGATAATGGGCCTAGCTCTTGGTGTGGACTCAGTTTAAGCATTACTTTATTTCCCTGGGGATCCAGGGTGAAGCCAAACGTAATTATATACATCACTGACCTGGAGAACAAGAAAATCTCTATCATTAAACACTTAATGACTTTTCCGGATAAAATAGTTTGGTTCATCCGATGAAAATAATTGATGGAAAGTTATGTTTGCATAAAGGAAACAGCTCTAACACAAAAACAAAAAACGCACAGAAAGCTTCCACATTGTGCACAATTTCAATCTTCATTACCAAGAAGACAATAGTCATTTCATACAAAAACAACCCTTAATCAGAGAGATATTCAAGGAAGTTCTCTTAATCACTTATAGAAAGGAAAATTACTCAAAGATATGCTCATCACTAAATAAATTTCATCCAAAATAAAGACATGAACATGATATAGTTATGATACTCACGGGTAGCAGAGAAAAAGGCAATTTTGTATACTGTTTTGCTGAATAATTCTCCATGACAACCATACAAAGCTTGACACAAGTGATAGAAGAGCCACGCCCTTCAGGAAGAGGTTAACAAAACACTTGACAGTGCATAGTACTTCCGAGGCTAGTGTCTGTAAAAGTACAAAATAAATAAACAAAAATCAGGGATATAGAATGGATTTTCCAATGGGGGTTCCAAGACTAAAGTTTTATGGGTATTAAAACACACACTGATTTGAAGGAAGGGGTTCACATCAATCCAATGATGCTCGTCACTCCTAGGGGGTCAAGGTATTTACCACTAAGAGTGACTAGCATCTAATCCCTCCTAACAGTACCATCACAGAACCAAACATTAAAGTCACAAGAATATGAATATAAATATGGACACAACCCCCAATCATTGATATTCTTGATGGTTAAACAAATTCTCCTTGTCAACGACAAAGGAAATATACAGAGAACAGTATGGAGAGTATGCATACTGACATTAAGGTGTAAAAAGTTAGAGAGGGGAAGAGCATTATTTTGCTTCAGCTCAATTGGAGGTTAAAATTTGAAGGGAAAAGTTTTAAGCAATAAATTCAGGTCAAAAATGGTTGATTTAAAGCTCAACAGGCTACTAGTCAACCTCACTCATAAGAAACTTTGGTTGACCTTTAACCCCTGAGAGTATCTAATTTCTCCTTACAATATCGACACTGAATTACACATAAATGTCATGAGAATAAAGGCAACTATCACCAACTAAAAAAGCTCCTGATCACTAGACAAATTCTCCTTGTCAGCACATTAGTAAATGTACAGAGAGTACTGTACTGCAGAGTTTGAAAAGAATTACTAGTTCCTAAGAAGATTGTTGTGCTATATCAGTGCACAGGCAAAAGAAATAGTTGAGAAAGACTTGGACGTAACATGGAGCTTATGCAAAAGTAACAAAACATCAGTGGGAAGTTTTTTTTTCCCCCAAAGCCTCCCAACCCCTTGATCCCTAAGAGTGACTACCAACTAATTTCCCCTAACAATATCACCCATGAATCAAACATTACAGGAAAGGAAAAGGAGGAAAAGTTTTCAGCAATAAATTTAGGTCAAAAATGGTTGATTTAAAGCCCAGCAGGCTACTAGTCAACCTCACTCATCACAAACATGGGTGGACCCTTTAATGTCATGAGAATAAAGGCAACTATCACCAACTAAAGAAGCTCTCACTCATTAAACAAATTCTCCTTGTCAGTACCTTAACAAATGTATAGAGAACAGAATAGAGTGTGTCTACTGATGTTGGGGTATAAAGGGTTGATGTTTAGACAAATATGCATCATGATTATGCAATTCATCTACAATTACCTGTCCAATTACATTCCATGCCACTCTTCGACTCAGGAAAATGGCAATGAACCACATAAGGTGGATATCAACCATGTGAATATTCTGCCATGAAAAAAAATAATTTCTCAGTCAAACTAAAATAAACACTGCAACAAATGACTTCACAACTCATCACAAAAGTGATGAAAATTGTAGAAATATGAAGTTTAACCTCATTTATAACAAATGTGGGACACAGATACATATAATGCACTGTAGTAACAGCTGGAAAATTACAATAAGATGCACATCACATACAGCTTCAATTGTCTTAACCCTTTAACTCCCATGAGTGACCAAAACAGAAATTCTCCTTACAATATCAATACAATATTGTGCAGACAAGTGATGAGAATAAAGAAAAATATCAGTTAGGGAATTTTTCAGTTGACACAATACCAAATTCTCCAAACTAACATCACAAGAACTGTATGGCACATAGTTGGGAGAATTACTAATGAGATCTTGGGAGTCAAAGGGCTAATAGTTAATACTTTAATATTAATGACTTCTGTTACAGTTGTCCAAGTTTATGCCCTGTTCAGGGACTGCAGTGCTTCCTAGCTTTGTATTCACTGTATTGAAAAGATGCTTACACCCAAGAGCAATATCTGTACATTTGACATTGGTTAGTCACTGTTTCATCTATTTTTAAAGACTGATTTTTGAAAGCTGATAACTAGCTTAAAACAGACTCCTCATGACAGATGTCTACAGTTAGCAGCATTGTACAAACAAGTTACAAATGGCATTAAAATAGCAAATAAACTGAACAGAATGACCTAACTTTACAAACGAGACAAAAACTAGCTACTTGACTCCTATGGCAAAAAAAATCACAGCAAATCTGAACAATCAGTTCACATAACCCAGACTTGTAACAGTGAACTAACAAACAACTCCTTCCCTGATTCTAATGAAGACTTCAGCTCAGGTTGCTGAAATATCAGTCATTGCCATCAACAAGAATTCTTCCCTAGACTACTCTCACCAGCACGACCAGATGACAAAGTTGACTTTTTCATTAACCCTATGATCCTTTAGAGCATCAGGCATCTAAATTCTCCTTACAATATCACTCCTGAATCAAACATATAGGTCACAAGAATAAAGAAAATGATCCCAAACTAAAGAAGATCATGATTGTGAGATAATTTCTCATGGTCAGTGCTTTTGGAATTGTTTAGAGAACAGTTAAGAGAATATCCATCCTGATGTTAAAGTGTTCCGGGTGAACACGGTAACATTATTTCTAAAGGTAGTCAATGTGTAAAATTTTGAAAGGAGAGAGGACTAGCAACACCTCTGCAACTCTGGAGAGGCCCGCTAAAAAGGCCTGAAATCAATATTGAAAGAAAAGGTTTCAGTCACTTTTTAAGTTTTTCCTATTGTAAAAACATCATTAAATTCATGCACTTTGACAAACCCACTTTGATTAATGGGTCTAAAATTTATGTTTTACACTCCCTGAGGTGAGCATGAAACATTTTTATTCAAACCATAATATGGAACAAGTTTTACACCACTTTGTAGAATTTCCACCTCACAAAAATACCAAAACATGAAGCTTTGACCATTCTACTCCCACGAGTAACAAAGACAAAAGTTGTCCTTACAATGTCAATACAACATCAACCAGAAAAGTTATGAGAATAGAGAAAAATATTACTTGGGGGATTATTAGTTGATCCAATACCAAGTTCTCCAGATTTACAACAAAAGAACTATATGGCAGAGGGTAACAAGAATTACTAATGCCATCTTGGGAGTGAAAGGATTTTAAGACATATCTTTAAATAAAACAATTTCCTACCCATGAAAAATCACCAGTCACCATAAAAGCAGAAAAGTTGAAACACTGGCTAACTCATTTTTTGAGTCCATTTTCATCATAAATTCAAGAACACTAACAAGACTTCAGTAAGTCACCTACTGGTAACTAACATTAAAATTCTCATCCCCAACAATCAATTTTCGTCACACTGGGAACCAGCTGATTATAATTTTGGAACTACATAACTTTAAAACTAAAAGAAAGAAACATCTGCTCCATAAATCTTCACATCCTTGAAGCTACATACATCAAAACAGCTAACCTGGTGGAGATCAGAACTCAAGGCATCTGACCCTTTGAATGTTAGGTCATTTCCTGAACAACAATATACTACTCATGCGTTTTATAAGTAAAATGGTAGACCAAATCATTCATCTTTGAAAAAGAAGCTCACATATATTATATTTGACAGGTTCAAAGGAAAAGAACAATGGCGTGTTGTCTCCATACCTACTCCACAATTAGCATCACAATTCATTTCCGTCAACTACCCACGGGGGGATAGGCGAATTAATAATAATGGTATACCGCACAACAATAATCATTTTCGTATTTTCAAATCTACCGATGTACAAAATACTCGAGCGTCACCCCAACTGGCTATTTCTGACAAGAATCGAGCGAGCGCTATTTTTAAAGGTTAATTTTTAGCTGCTGCTTAATAATCAATGAAATGGAACACCTGGTACAGAAGTAGGGAGATAACCAGTTTGTAAACTATACACGGGAAAGGAATAATTATTTGAACAACGCTAATTTTTGACAATCAATTGATTTTTTAATGGTCGAGAGAAGTCGATATATTGTACCATCATCCATACTAAGAACGGAATTAGAGTTACTCAACATTAAGTGCACCTACCGTTTTGTAGATGTTGACATGCTGAAGAACAAGCGCGCTGACAAGATAGCAAAAAAATAAAATTTCGAAACCCATTGAGGTAAACACAGGCAAGTTAGGATGAGGATAGTGGTACAGTGGAGGGATCGTTAACAACGAAGAGATCGAATGTATTCCACTGGTAGATGGGGGCGATCCGTTTCTGTGGAGAACAAATGAATCGAAAGCGAAATTTAGCGTTCATTATGCAGTCGCGCGTGCCACTGGACACATGTAGTTAGGTTTCATCAAGAATTCTTCTTCGCACGGGCAATCAGGCCTTCGATTTCTGCAGACGTTACACTCTAAAATAGAAACGAATGACTTTACAAATTGTAAACAATATTATCGAAGAAAAGAACAAAGATTGGCTACAAGATAAAACTTACCGATAACCTCGTACAGCGTTCTGAAGACTTCGTATACTGGACGGGCAACTCGCCTTGACGGTGACAAATTTTCTCCCTCCCGGCATCAAACGACACAGCCACAGGAAAATATGATCCAGAATGGAAGAGCTGGCGACCAGATAGAGGATGAACGGCCAAAGTAGCGTTCCAAACATCTACATTAACGATCTCACTCCTTATAATGTTTCTTTATTCTTCTCACCACAAAGTCAGCCGTCTGCTTGAACTCTTTTGGAGATGCCCGCTGATCATATAAACGCAGTCTCACGTAAATTCTTGGAAGTTCCCGAAAAATGCCATTCAAAATGTTTAAAATGTTCAGTTAAGGAAGTTTCAAGTTGTTTTTCTTCCGAACATTCACTTCTTTTAGGCAGCGATCGAATTGAAAGTTCCTTCTAAATCCGGATTTTAAAGCGTAATTCCCTAGTGATTAGATTCAACTTGAATCACGCGCGTCTCACAAGATTTGTCTTTGTATGGTGAACAGGAAGACACAATAACACACGAGGCATTGCTGATAGAAATTCCATATAATAAAAAACCACGATGCTGCCTGAGTCAAATACGAATCTCGCATTAAAAAATGTCCACTCCTGCATCATAAATTTTACTTACACTAGACAGAAGTTAGTCTACAAATTTATGTTGGATGATGGTTAGGGAAGAAGTGACTTAAAACGATCGGCTAGGGTTAAGAATCTAAAAGAGGCAAATGGAATGCATTGGATGTCTTTTTTTTTAGCAGTTCAGCTAATCAATCAGTCGACGAGGTAGCAGGAAGTGCCAAAAGCCACATATAATCAAGAATCATGATAGTGTAGGCAATAGTCAGTGGACACGACAAGGTTCGTTTTCAAAAGAGTGGACTGGATCCGACTAACACGCGCACAGTACGTTATGAACTGTGAGTGTGACGTCAACTTTCACTTCAACAGTTTTGCAGAATGAAACAAACAGTGGGCTTAGGGTGAAGAGCGAAAGTTTCCTCATAACATGAAGAGTAAGGCTGCGACTGCAGCGCTTTCACTTCCCTTTTTTGTTCAAGCTGAAAAGGTAAGATTTTTTTAATTGTTGTGAAATAGTAGAAAGAGCCTGTTGTTATTCTGACATATATTTCTCTCTCATCTATGAAGCTATGAGAATTCAAATTCCGTGGATTATCGTAAATAAGGGTAACTTTCCCGGATAAATTACCCTGTTGAAAACTAACCTTGTTTCATTTCTCAAAACTATTTGGTACCAGTTTTCCAAAAGGATTTTTTTTCGGCAAAATAGCAAACAAGTCTTACTAATTTCTTCCCGGTAAACAGATACTTCTCCTGTTGCCATGGTGGTTTTCACACGTGCGTGCGAAGTGTGTGCGTACAACGGTCAACCGCCTCGTGCTTTTCTGATCTATAACATTCATTTTTAATTTACTGGAAATAATTGTAACCTGATTGGCTCTCAGCTGTGCGATTTATTTACGAATTGCACTCTCTTTTCTCCAAATCGCTTCTTTTTCCTCGCCCATGAGAAAGCAACATTACAAAAATTCAACCAATATGATTCCAAGACTTATTTAAAGTAACCAATCAAATTTCAGGAAAATAGAAGCCCAAGAAGCTTTTATGTGGCAAATTTGGCTTTCGTACCCACAACATTTTCGAGCAATTTTGGTCCAAAA